CGACATCGATAAGCGTCACCGCATCGGGCCACGAAGTGTACATTTTATTCTATTTTTTTTTTATAATAAATTGAACATAAATCCTGCACGTAATCAATTTTGCCTCTGTTTCGTGTTATTTCCAAATAGTCGTATTCGGTGAAAATGTCCGAAACAGAATTTTTGTAATTTTTCGACATCAAATGAAAGAAGCGCGATCGCGCCGCTTGGCACTTTTGGATTGGGAAACAACAAAGACCCGTGGCACTCAAACGGTTAACAGGTAATGATAAAAAGATAGCTAATTTAGAGCTCTATAGTTAATGTAAAATTGTTTGAAATTATGTGAACGCTATTTTGTGAGAAAATCGATGAAAAAAATGGAAAAGAGAAGGAAGAAAATAATAAAGAATAGGTAATTTAGAGCTCTATAGTCGGTATAAAATTGTTTGAAATTATGTAAACGCTATTTTGTGAGAAACCTGATAAGAAACATGCATAGTAGGTATTAGAGGATAAGTTCCTCGTCCATAAATCGCGAAGACTACAAAATTTCAGTAACACAGGAGTAATAATCGATAATCTCTGTTCGCCGACCCTATATCCCCGCACAATAACAGATAATGCTCGAGTGCAAGTACTTTGTCGAGTATGTAATATTGCTACGAAAGGTCCACGTTGGAACCTATCGCTGCTACTTTCGTACCAACATCCTTACAAAAAACACGCATCGTTCATTCACTCTTTTCCTTTCGGTATCACTCCAGAGGGCCGCCTCCTCTTCGCATCCTTATTTCACCGGCAACCTCTGTATAAACAGCTGCATCGCAGGTACGCAGCGAACAAATCTTCCCAAGTCCCCCTTTCTTTTTTCTCTTCCAATCGTAAATCCCGCTCGTTCCAGTAAAATCGCGATCGAAACGCGTTTCCCCGTAAACGCACTTTAAGGAGTAGGGTGGTAGCGGCGGGATTCGAGCGAAGCGCAGGGATAGGAGAGAAGGCGCTTCGAGAGAGCAGATAGAGCGAAACGATCGATCGATCGCTCTCTCAGACTTTTCGCATATATTAACCGTCGAGTGGTTGGAACGAAGAGGTGGGCTAACGAAAAAAGAAACGAGGTAACGCGTGAAGAAGAAGAAGAAGGGGTAGGTGCAGAGAAAAAAAGGGGGTCCTGACCCTACTGTTTACAGATGCATTTTCGATTTTGTCTCGCTCGAGGTGCGCGAGCATCGAGCCGCATACAGTCCACACTCTAGACTCTGCCTGTAATTCAGTAATGGTCTTACGGTGAAGTTCATAATAACTGACGCAAATGAGAGGGTCTCGTAATTAATTCGTGCATACTTATGAATAGAATAAGTGAGGCAGAGTGTGTGTGTGTGTGTGAGACGAAGAGAATACGAGTAGGTAGAGGGATTGTGAGGAGAGAGAAAGTAGGGGGATAGGGACGACGAGAAGGGGTTGAACAGTGGCTGGTTGGGTGAAGACAGGAGGAGAGACATGTTACCCTATGCTGAGCCTGCGTAACCCAGTATCTGCAAATCCCACGTTGAAAGCCTCCCACAAAGCAGTGAATCAACGCTGTTAATTTGTTAAGTGTAAAGTGAATGAAATCAGTTTGGTAGCGGTTATGTATACCGGACGTGACCGTAAGCACAGGGCGGAATTTCGGCTAGCCGCGAAGACCGTCTATAAATTATTTCGCGATCGCGAGAATGGTCAGGAGGGAGTAATCTGTGTTGGTATCGGTAAAGTTTAGAAATACACTTCGATAGAGGGATATTATTTCAAAGAGATGTTCCGTGTTCACTCTCTCTCTTTCTCTCTCACACTCACTTTGCTCGTTCGGTTCTGATTTTTCTCTGCAGCCATTCCTGCCGGGCTCTTTCAAATTTTTCACGGTAAAAATAGTTGACACCATTTTTACCATTTAATCGATCGAGGTAAATGCGCCTCTGTAATATATAGAATGGGACGCGATTCGTGGTATGATCGAAAGGGATGATTCATCGCGGTTAGATAAGTCGAAAACGCTGAATGAAGTGCTTTCTGTTCCCGGGGAAAAATATTCTCCACTCTTTTTTTCGTAGAGGAGAGTCCTTTTACCTGTAACATATTTTTTCGCCTATCTCGCGATCCTTCGAAGGAATTATCGGGGATAATTTTCATTCTACGACGACGCAGACATTCTCTTCGTTATTCGTACGTTTATCTCGCAGTCGCTTTTTGTTTACCGTGTTTAAAAAAAATACTCTGGAAACTCCGACAGAGCATCCTTGATATGAACTGCGAGAATCCTCGGGATTAACGTTAATCACGTCAAAATCTCCACTGCAACGGGAGAAAAGCGAAAAAGAAAAAGAAATATCATCCCCTATTGAAATCGAGCTCACCTAATGCCCATATTTTCCCCCGCGAAACTCTGATAATCGTTGAATATTCACGTCTCGAAAGCTCGGTCGCAGAATCGCAATATAAATAAACGGTCGTATTCAATCGTATTTGCGACGTAAATTCACGTATTATCAATTTCCGGTGCGGAGCGGCGGCCGGTTTCGACGCGGAGCCATCGAACTGATTATTTCCGACGCGGCGAAACATGCAACGTAAGGAAAAAAATGGTACACAATGCAACTGAGCGAGTGCAATATCCCGGGGGGCGCATCGACCCTCGTTCGTAACCCGGAATCAGATCTAGCTGCATGATAAAACGTGTCACACGGCAACGGTTAATTTTCGCCTGAACCCTTTAAACAACATCGTCCTCGTATGTACAGCTCAGTCGTCCCTCTCTGTTCCCCAAAATTTTTGCCTCGTCGACAACTTCGGCAACTTCAATTCCCGTACACCTACACGGAGAATTGAATGAACCAACGAGAGATGATCGACGCGTTGATAACTTGGGATCGCACGTGTATAGAGTGGTGTATGAAAAATTCATCGAGCCCAGGCAGGGGCATTAACGTTGAGCAACTTGTTTCTCTCCTCGTCTCTCCCTCTCCTCCGCCTCTGAAACTTCGTCGATATCGGGCTGCTGGGTGACACCCTCGTACACCAGAGTCGCGATAATTGAACGGCTGATGATTTTTAGGTGAAAGCCTGTTTCTCTCTACGTTGGACGTTGCGTTAAATAAACAAAGTTTCGTTTGATCCACTTTTCGGGCTTGGACCTCGTCCTCGTTGCAACGCTCTGCGCCGGAAACAAAAAGGGAGAGTATATACGAGGGCGGCATCCCCCGTCGTCGTTTCTCCAACGGTAACCACGTGTATACACGCACACACGCGCGTAACTTTATTTCGTCTCGTGGAAACTTTCAGTTTTAGACGGGGTAGATAAGAGACGAAGAAGAGAAAAGAAAGGAATGTGTTTTTCCCCTCAACTTCTCGTCCATCTCGAAATCACTCTTCGCCAGGTTACTCCAAATTCTTACTGTACTTCTCCTCCGGTGTGTATATATCGTGTGACTTTTAAACACCGCGCACCACGGGGATCTCCCTGCACGCGGGTGGATCCTCCCTGTCTCTCCCTCGCCCGGGAGAGACGGAAGATTCTTAAACGAGGTTCGTCCGGGTTCATCGGGGAAAGATGAAATTTAATGCCGGTTACTTATGCATACGACATACATGTAGCGAGCGTATTATTCGCGCGTTATTACACAGAAGCAGGATGCACGGCGAGCCGGAAATGTCTTGTAAGGGGAGGGGAACGAGATCGCGCGATCCACGGGTACTTAATGACGGTTAATATGTAATTCTGCCCCATTGAAATCCGATATAATATTTCGAATTCTCGCGCGTTCGCTGCGTTAATAAAACAGGACCGCAACCTGGACACCGAAGGGGGTGGAGAGGGTGAAAGCGGCGGGAGGATACATTAACGTATTCGGTATTGGAACGCGGTGGAATGTATAGCGGCGATACGCGCGATATACAATTTCAATAAATTGAACGCGCAGGATACCTGATGATAGACGAATCCCGTGTTCACGGGAGAATAGCAACGATGTGGCGGAATAATTAGGTGATTTTATCGCGGTCTGTATTCGTGGCTTCGTTTGTTATTCCATTGGCCCAAATTTATAATTAGCAAAAATATCTTTCGGTTAATATGCTATACGGTTAATTTCATTCGAAACGACACCGAGTGTGAAACTGATGCTTGTTGATTTAACCGAGATTTTATTTCTCTGTTTGATCACGTTTTTTCTTTTCTCTGGTTTGTACATTTTAAACGAAGATAATTAGGATGTGATTTTGTAATCTAAGCGTTGTTTACGGAACACTGTTACATTTTGCAATACTGTTGAATGGTAAATGGTTTTATTACTATCGAACGATACCAGGATTTTGTAGTATCTTTCGATGTTATTGCAGTTCTTTACCAGTATACGGTCGATTGTTGGAAAGTTTTAACGTTTCCTGCGTTGAAGTTTTCTGTATTATCAGTTATGAGTAATAGGTGATATTTGAATTAGTTTTCAATCGTAGATGTGGTTTTAGAATAGACTTACCGCCGCAGAGAAAATATAGACTAGATTTATCATCTGATATATTTTTTTATCCAACGTCGTGGGGGCTCTAGAGCCCCCTTACCATTTTCTTGTCACTTCCAACGTTACCGATTTAGTATAGAACAAGATTACAACATTAGTAGCGGTTGGAATTAGAATGAAATGTAACTGCGAAATTATAAATAAAGCATAGGACAGAATTATTCATAATCGTACTGTGTTATCACCACAGTTGGGGATGGAATCTAATTGGCTGTTGATAAAAAAGGAACTTCAATATTGATTACAACCGTATTTGATAACCGTTTAAATTGCGACATAATCGGATGCAATAATAAGTGTGTCGTATTGAATTGAAATGGATACGAAATTTATTTTGAACATGCGATCACGATTCTTACAAAGGTTTACCGAAATGTACTGTAGAGAGCAGTACGTGTCGTATTGACTTGGAGCATGTGCGAGTTATTTGATATTGTTTTGTATTAAAAGTTTTTGCGTATAGACAAAATGATTTCGTCTACTTTACAAATAGTAACACGTTCTTTGGTGAAAAACGTGGCGTTGCTGAAACGAAAATCTACGATACTTCCGTGTTTAACATTTACTCACGTTCGAGACATGCACATAACCTCAAATGTTGCGAAAGAATTTCGAGTTGGATCTTACAAAGTAAGAGCTTCTGCAAAAGGTAAATCAGCGGCTATGGATGGAGAGGGTACAGTCGACGTTTCCGGTGCAATGGAAACGTAGGTGTTTTGTTTCATACTTTATAAACGTGTTGACGTAAATAGTTGTAGTTATTTTCACTAATGTTTATACATGTATTGGTTTTAGGGTTGCGCTGTTTCCAGATAGTAAAACACCGTACAAACTTTTCGACGGTATACCGTACAATCAGTTGCACATAATTAATATAAAATCAACTCATAACAATACGATAATGTCTTTTACCGATGCTAAAGGAAAGGTTTAATACAAATGTATTATTCAACAAATACTATTCTCGTACATTCTTTTACAATCTTGACAATTTTTTTATAGGATTATTAATTTCGATACATTCAGCTGGAATCGAAGGTTTCAAAAATACAAAGAAGGGTACTAATGTTGCAGCACAACAAGCAGCTCTTACATTTGGAACAGTGAGTGAATTTCATAATATAACCATTTGTTCCTTTTCATGTGTTTTATGTTTTTTTCAGCGTATTCTGGAGACAGGTGTGTTATCAGTTAGATTGAGAATCCAAGGTATCGGACCAGGCAGAATGGTAAACATCAACAGATACACACTGAACTTTCCTATTTCTACAATGTACATTTGTCGCGAATAATTATCTATCTGTATATACAGGGTTGCATAAAAGGTTTTCAATTATCAGGATTGAACATTGTTTCTCTAACAGATGATACTAGAGTATCGTGGAATCCTCCAAGACCAAGGAAACAGAGGAGAATATAATCTATAGACTAGAATGTATTATAAAATATCCAATAAATTAATTCACCTTAATTCATATTAAAATATATATTTTGTATATAATTACATATGATATATTATTCATCTGCAATACTTCTGGCGATTTGTGTACAGTACATTCTCATTACACGATATTTACAACAAAGAACACTGACTAGATGACGAGACAAACATTTATAAATTATTTAAACTTAACTATAATGGCCTTGCTGAACTACTTAACCTTATTTCTTGTATCACATTTCTTACTATTAACAATGCTTTATTCCTATCGTTTAAATGTATCCTACTATTATTCAATAGTTTAAAAGTGAAATCTTCAATGGAATTCGAGATACGTCAGCTGCATGAAAGTGAATTCCCAGATTCTGAAGTTTCTCAGAACAAAAAGTGTTCCGATATTTAAAAATGAACATCTTCCAACGTGTCTCCTTTCTTTACACGTGTTTCGAAGTCTTCGCGAAGCCAAAGCTTCGTTTCATCGTACTGAGAGCACATGTTGCGTGATCCACGGTATGTACTCCGAGACTCGAGTGTACACACCAGGAAGTCGTGGTCGAGCGCATCCCACTCCTGATGAAACTACTCCCACGACCATTACATTATCGCTAGGATGACTTCCGATCATCAGAGGTCCGCCACTATCGCCCTGGAAGAAAGCACCGTATATGTTACCGCCTCGATAAATTTCTATCGAACATAAAGACAGAGAAAAATACTAAAATCCACAAATTCCTACTAAAAAAACGAAGAATAAACATTCATTTGAAAAATTCCCCGAATGAAATACACATCAAAATCAAGTATTCTTCCCTAATGAAATATCTAGATAAAAAAGTTTCGACAGCGATGGATATCGACATGAAAAATATTTCAAAAGACTGTTTCTTCATTTCTAACTACCAAAATGATCTACGAAATCTAAGCAGAGAAAGCTCGAAAAATGATCTACACAACGTACGTTCGAAGAGTGAACACATTTCAATACAAAACTTCCAATCCAAATAATCACCGTAGCATAAATGATCTTGATACACGACCGAGTGTAATCTATCTCATAATCACGGACTGGTAAAAACCGAGAGGATCGAAACGGCGCGAGACAACAGTTCATCGAAGTAGAAGGCGCTCGCGAAATGACCCGCGAACGGAATCGTAAATCCACGATGAAACGTACCGACACGGAAACACGTACCGCGCGCCCTTTTATTTTCCCCGCAGCTGCTCGCTTCGATAATTACGTTATACCGGACCGCAATATTTTGTCAACATATTTTTCGACGGTTTTTCACCCGCTTCGTGCTTCTATCCCTCCTCCTCCCCGTTTGTTTTGTGGTCGAACGATTGAGCGGCGGAGCCCGGTGCCAGGAGACACCCAGACCAATCTCTGCCTGTTAATTCAACGTACTACGTACGCGTCTACACGGGCACCAGAGCCGGATATTTATTGAAATTCGTGTCGCGGTTGTTCGACAGGGCGTGAATTTCGTACACGAACGAGTGACACGCGACCCGGTGTCTAACTTGCTCCGATATGAATGGTAGGGAAGAGATCGATATAAACACAAACACACACATGCATATATAGGTGTATAAGAGGGATAAAGTGGGATGGTTGCGTTGTAGGTATAAACGAGGGATAGATAAAGGATACGAGGTGGATTTCACTTACCCAGCAAGAGTCGCGGCCACCTTCTTCGTGGCCGGCGCACATTTGCTTCGACTCGACGCGAGTCGACTTGCCTTGACTGGCGTACCACTCGCGACACACGCTGTTCTCGATCACGCGAACCTCCACTTTTTGCAACACGTCCGCTCGTTTATCTGCAAGACAAAATAGACCGGGCGTTTGATACCGCAGGCTACTTTGGACAGACTTTAATTGCCGACACGATTGTCGATTACATTGAAGCTCAGGTACGATTTTACACTTGGGTCTTTTCCAAGAGGTTTCTTGCGGTATTCGCGTTTGTCAATTTGTTCGAGTAGGGTATTCGTGTTTATGAAATATTTTGGATGATTTTTTGTAGTGTCAGGGAATAAATGAAATTGAAATTTGCATTTGGTTAAGAATTGAATGTTGGTCGAATTTGATCTGCTCTCCGGTGCTCTCCATAACGAATCTGCAGAGTTTATCAGTGCAAAAAAATGAAAATTGTCATTTTTCGAGTCAATTCAATTCGGGGCAATGTCGATTTCTTCTTATTTTAATGTTATCATAGTCTGAGATATACGTTTATCCAGTACGTTAGTATTCACTTTAATCGCTTCCTTACAAACCCGAAGTCAAACTTCTACTTAAAATTCCACGCTATCGTAAATAACACTTTTCTCTGCAACATTCATGCCGGAATTATGGACACCGCGGGGCAACTTTTTAAAGTGAATTTTATTTCCGGCTACTTGGTAGATCGTAAAGAACGGAAGTTCACAGCGTTAACAGTAGCATCATGAGCGATCGAGGGTGTATTCTTCGCGTTCAACGAAGGGAACTTGCTGTTCCTAAGGAATTCGAATTGTCGTGAATGCGGAGGGGGTGTGGTGTGCTCTCGAACTCGAGTTGAAATTTGATTTCGACGAAAGCGTCTTTTGGTCGAAGTTCAGTTCGTACGCTACCCTTAGTCCCTTTGATTCCGCGAAACGGCCAACGGAACTTTTCTGCAATTCTCTTATAGACGTTTGCAGAAAACTACACAGTAGAACCCTCTTAACTTTAACTCCTCTTCTTTACAATATCATTATCGAGAGAAAACTACGATACAAGAATGTCCATTTTATCTCGACCTTTTAATCCAGACTTTAATGCATCGGTTGGCTTTGAAATTATTCGTTTCTTCTCGTTCGAGGTAAAATGCTCGTTCGATTTTCGTATCGCGGGCATTAATCGGATGGAACGTGGAGTAATTAACGTGTACGGTTCCCAGGTGAATTACCGAGGGAGACGAGGGCGAAGGGGAATTATTTACTTACATTTGGACCTGTCTTCGCCGAACCAACCCCATCCGGCTGCCTTAGCGAGCTCTCCGCCGAAGGCACTGTACCCTGGTTTCCCTGTGGCCACAGGTAAACAGGCGGGTTTCACGCTCTCCGACCAAGCGATCGGCCTTGCGAACTCCAGAAGTGCAATATCGTCCACGTATCTTCCGCATTTGTGGCCTGGGTGTAAAATGGCGCGAGCCACCCTCTCTTCTCTCGACGCCGGCACTTCCGGCCCCTTTAAATTGTACTCGCCCAGGCTGACCCTCAGTTGACCGGTGGGAATCACGGATGCGCCTCTGAATCGAAGAAAGAACATTTTTTTTATTCATCAGGTTAGTTGGAAACTCGAAATTTAGCAAATTTTGGACTATTTTCGGTGATTTTCAGAGAATCAAGAATCTTTACGCGATTATCCTCTCAATTTCTCGTACTTGCGTAGATTTATCTTCGACTGACCCGTGAGAATCACGGCTATTCCTCTGAATCGAAGAATATTCTTTTTTTCATTTATCGGGTTTCTCGAAAACTCGAAATTTAACAAATTTTGGACTATTTTCGATGATTTTCAGAGAATCGAGAATCTCTACGCGATTATCCTCTCAATTTCTCATACTCGCGTAGATTTATCTTCGATCGATCCACGAGAATCACAGACATACCTCTAATAATCGAAGAATATTTTCTTCACTCCATCGTATTACTTAGAAACTCGAAATTTCGCAAGCTCAGAACCGTTAATTTACCGTCAGGCTAGCGTGCAGAATCTCTACGCGACTATAAACCACGCAACATCGTCTCAATTCTTCCGGTAAACCGTTACATCGTCGAGGTTCGCGGCTCGGTTGAAAAACGTCGAGGTATAACTTCCACTTTGCGCGCATTACGGATACATGTAGGCCAAGTAGGACAAATAGTCCCGGCTCTTTGGCCGTTTTTCGGCCGGAACGAGTCAAAGTCCGGCCACGACGTCGAGCAAGTAATCATCGTGAAAGTTAAGTGCACGACGAAAGAACCAGGGGCGATACGTGTCTATAGAAGTTCCTTATTCTCTCTCTCTCTCAAGCAACGATGCTTCTTTCATTTTCCTCCTTCTACGATACCTTCTCGGTCCAAAGGAACAACAGCAACCACCACCTTTTCGAAAGCACCAGCAGCAGAGTCTTTGCCTGCAATTATTTAACCAGGATATCTGTTACAAGCGACGCCTGTTCGTTGTTTGCGTTCGAACGCTCTCGAAACACAGTGGCTTCGCTTAATTAATCGGTCGACTCCGCTCTCCCGAATAACTAACGAAGTTATGGCAGCTTTCACCCTCTTTCCATTGCAAACGGTGCATTCGAGGGTGGTGTGTCTCGTCCTAGTTTCTTCTTCTTCCTCGTCGTCGACGTTGCTTCCTACCGGAAGGTAGTACAATCACACTCGAGTCGTTCTCCAACTTTCAAGGTTCCGTCTCTTCTTACAAAGCCTCCCCTTAACGGACCTTTCCATCCTCATCGAGGCTCCTCCATTCTTCTCTTCTCCATCCTTCGCGGATTACACGATTTAACACTGACACGCGCCACCCTTTCTCGATTAAAATGCACCGCTGGCTAAACGTTGGATCGCACGTCACCGGTGTCCAGAGAGAAGGGGAGAGCCAGTGGCCTTTTTAATCGGCCACTCGTTGCCATTAATCGTGTCTCGTTAATCCACTTGTAAACTGCTCGCCGCGAGAAAATGGGTTGGTAACTGTTTCGCGGTTAAACTTCCTCTCGATTGTTCTTGTTCCGTTGCATCTGAAGTGTCCCTCTTTTCGGTGAATTTATCGCGTCTGTTTCATAATACCTTACATGGCCTCCCCGCTTTTGTTAAGGGTGAATTTATCGGTGGCGCTTGGTGATCGTCGGGAACAATGGAATGTGTGTTCCAATTTGTAGTTTATTTTTCACTTTTCAATATTTCTGCTGGCTATTGTTTTCCCGATTGTTCCGTAATACCTTGCACGTTATGAAATAGTAGTAGCTTTCAATTTGTGAGGTACACTTCCGGTGGAAAGTTTCGGGATCGTTTTTAATATTCGCGATTTATGGAAAAAAGTGGAATAAAGAGTAACCGTAGATCGCTGTACCTTCTATGAAATTCGCAATTTTTCCAATTGCCAGTTTTCCGTTACAAAAATCGACTCGTCAAAGACCGCAACTCGATCTGCAATTCCTCGACGTCCAGTCCGCGCAATGTCCTCCGCCGCCCTCCCCCTTTTTTCCTTCGCGATAGCTTTTACAAATAATTCTCTTTCGCGCGTAGAGCTGCATTAACGAAATTTATTTCGGCCGTTTCCGTTCGACGATAAAGAAAACGCGAACAATGCCCGGAGTTGGATATATTTCCACGAGGCCGCGGCTAGCTGGCAACATTTTGTCATGCGTTTTGCATGGCCGCTAGCAATTACCGAGTGGTCTGTAATCTACACGCAATCATGGTTTACAACGCCGAAGCTTCGTTGGATTCTCTCTATGGTCACCTCTGTCCAGCTTCAACCCTTTTCCCTCTGTTTCTTTCTCACTCCCGTTCGCTCTACGCTCGAGGAAGAAAGAGAGGAGCACGGAGGAACGTCTACACGTTTCATCGCGCAACGCCGCTGTCTCGACGTTTAATTACAGCTGCATGGACGCTGTTCCACATAAATCTCCGCGTTGCATCCGCCGGAAAAGAGAATCGCGAATATTTTCGAAAGCTCCACTCGATTTTCGCCGTTGATTGGAAGAGTTTCCACGGCGGAGAGTTTGCTGCCTGTTAACAACCGCGCGTACGAGATTCTCTTAAAACGAGAGCGATGAAAGTTACTATCGACACATCCGTTTCTTTCTCAAACTTTTTCGTATTCTTCCTTTTTCCAAACGCTGCGCGGAGAATTCGTTTCAGAGATGAAATTAAGCCGCGGCAATTTTTCATCGTTGTCTCCTACATTGTCTCCTTGATATTCTATTCTTTTTGTTTCATGCACAATGTTTTTGATATTCTAACTTTTTGTTTCGTATGTAAAATCGTCACAGATCCTCGCATCCCCCGTAGATATTTCAAATACATTATAAATCCTCGTTGGAACGAAACGCGTATTTTCCAACGACTCGTGGAATGTAAACGAAATAAATTGGACTGTGACGACGAAACAAAAGGTGAATATCTGTACCGTGGATGATCTACCGCATAGTTAATTGCAGAGAATCGCGCGAATAACAGCGTAGAGTCCGTCGATGGTAACGAGAAAGTCATTTCAATCGTTCGTGTAAATAATTTCGTTTATCAAATCGGTCGATTAATCGTCGAACGAAAATTCGGCGAGGATCTTCAAGCGACACCGATCTTTCGTGACACGTTATTCTTTATCTCTTTTCCACCCACTCTTCTTCCCTCCGATCGCTCGTATAAACAATAAACTCTTTCTTTTCCTCTCTTTTCCCCGATTCAGGAGAGGGACGTGTAGGTTTTGGATTTAATGATAGGAGGATAGTGCGTGATCTGGGTTACTTAGTACCCACGCAGTAAGTCCTTTTTGTCTTTATTATTTAGCTGGGTCACGAGGTGTATAGTTTACTTATTGCTTACTGACTCTGACTCTCCAAGTCACCTCGCGAGCTTCTTTCTCACCCTCTTCTTTTTCCTGATTGGTTACCTCTAATTTATTGGTTGTAATCAATCAGGAATTTTGTCTTTAATCCGCCGCTCTAGTCCTTTGCGCCCTTGGCGCGCTTTTTCCAGGACCGCGGCGAATTATGGTGGGGGCGTATTGTCCGCTGTAGCGCATTTGTTTTGAGTTTTCTCAAAAATAGCTTTGCTAGCGTGCCCGTCGTAAACCGTGTTGGTCGTCTGCGCGGCAATTGCTTGCTTCTGCATTACAACTGGTCGCCACAGACGTTTTTCACCTAGCATTTAACAAAAGGCCACCACTTGACTCTATTTGGCAGGGATGTTTACGCGGGCAAATAGCAGCTCGCAGTTTTTCACTCGACATAATGCCCGGCTCTTTGCATTTCCATTCGGCTGGTCCGCCCGCCGGAAAAATACGCTCGAGGTTTCATTTAAAATGTAATCATCGCTCCAATTAACATCGATATCCAACGTGTCCCGCGTGTATAACAGGAGCGCAATGGGACAGCCAGGCCAGGAGGGGGTTGTACACGACACGCGACGTTTTATGTCATTTTAACGAAGTGATTGGCCGTTTATCCAGTGGTTCGATAATCACAAAGCCCGGACAGCAAAGTCAGAGGAACACGCGTTTGTCGTGTTAACGACGCTCCATATGTTCCCACCCCTTTCGCGCGTTATTTTGCATAGATAGAAATGTGGTGGTAACTGACCAGTGAAATTTCTTCTCGATTTTTCTCATCCTTTTTTCTATTTCTTTTTTTTTTTTTCATCTTTTTATCTTTAATCGGTTTCGTTTAATTTTCGTTCTGTTCATTTCTTCCTCGTTTTCTTTTTTTTTTCCTCTCCCTGTCTACGTTCACTTCAGACGGGAAATATATTTGACAGAGAAGTGACACGACGAAGATAGACATCGTGTAACACGTTCACACGCTGAAATTTTGTATTTCTTTCTTTTCTCTCTTTCTCTCTCTCCCTTTCTGCACGTTGCGTAATTTCTAGACACGAGGTATTAAACTTTTTATCCGTCCGCCGAGCGTGATGATTTTCGCAAACGGCGAGCCGTAATCGCCGCGGCTATGCAACACGCGCGCGCGTACGGATTTCTACGGTTTTTAAGCCCGGACACAGATTCGCATAGATTGCGCGGATGGATTAAGTGGATTAGGACGTAGTCACTTGCGAAGCTTTTTTTCCAGGTGGAAAACGAACGATGGTGGGTTCTTGAAAAATTCAACCCTCCAAGTTTCGACTACGTTCACTTCCTCGTTCAATTTCGCAACTTTGCATTCGCGAATGAACCTTCCATGTTTGAAAAAAAGTACGCGTTTCTTTCTTCACTTGCCCGACGAATTTCGCGATTTTGCATTCGTAAAGGAATCTTTCAAATTTCAACTTAAAAAATGAAATGCATTTCTTCCTTCGCTTCCTCGTCGAATTTTGCAATTTTGCATTCATAAATGAACCTTCCAAGTTTCAATTAAAAAAAAAATGCATTTCTTCTTTCGCTTCCTCGTCGAATTTTGCAATTTTGCATTCGGAAAGGAATCTTCCAAGTTTGGAAAAAAGAATGCATTTCTTCTTTCACTTCATTTTCAAATTTCGCGATTTTGCGTTCGTAAATGAACCTTCCAAGTTTCAACTTGAAAAAAGACGCGTTTCTTCCTTCACTTCCTCGTCGAATTTTGCAATTTTACATTCGGAAAGGAATCTTCCAAGTTTCAATTAAAAAAAAAAATGCATTTCTTCTTTCGCTTCCTCATCGAATTTCGCAATTTTGCATTCAAAAAGGAATCTTCCAAGTTTAGAAAAAAGAATGCATTTCTTCTTTCACTTCATTTTCAAATTTCGCAATTTTGCGTTCGTAAATGAACCTTCCAAGTTTCAACTTAAAAAAAGACGCGTTTCTTCCTTCACTTCCTCGTCGAATTTCCTAATTTTGCATTCGCAAATGAACCTTCCAAGTTAAAAAAAAAAACGCATTTCTTTTTTCACTTCCTTTCCAAATTTCGCAATTTCACATTCATAGAGAAAAAAGAAAGACCACCCATCCTCGATCAATTATCATTTTTCGAACAATTCGTAAACAAATCGATCGTCGAAAAAGGCCTCTCGAACGTATCCATTTTTCATCGAGCCTGTGTGTGCAGACTTGCAAAAACGAAAACAGAAGAACCGAAAAACAGAGAAAAACAGAAAAAAACAATACACAGGAACGGCTAGCATAAATTCGGGACCGTAAACTTTTTACAATATTCGAGGCGAATACGAAACCGTTACATTTGCATCGTTCGAAAAATGAATTGGTTTTCGTTCGACGAGGTTTAAAACCGTTGCGCTGCCATCGAATACACACCGGCATTCAATCGTCGAGATCCGATCGGAATAATTACAGCCACGGATTTTCCTGGACAAGATGGTCGTTCGCCGTTTCGTTGACATTTTACCGGTGATACTGAAAACGGGTAGAAAATTTTTGGCACACATAACATCGTTGTGAATATCATCTCCTGATAAGATCTATCCCATCTCTCTCTCTCTCTCTCTCTTTATTTGTGTGCGTATAGCAAGCTCGTAGATTCGATTACAGGGAACAATGGGCAGCTTTCCATGAAGAAACAGTCGGTTTTCTGCCATGAATATTTTCGATGGCAACCTGCATATTGATTACGCGAACACCGCGTACACCACGGCATTATTGTAAAGAATGGAGGTATAAACTATCCTATCGATCGATATTAACGTTACTCTCTCTCTCTCTCTCTCTCTCTCTCTCTCTTTCTCTCTCTCTCTTTCTCTCTCTCTCTCTCTCTCTCTTTCTCTCTCTCTCTTTCTCTTTCTCTCTTTCTCTTTCTCTCTTTCTCTTTCTCTCTCTCTCTTTCTCTTTCTCTCTCTCTCCCTCTTTCTCTCTCTCTCTTTCTCTCTCTCTCTTTCTCTCTCTCTCTCTCAGTTTGGGTTGCTGCAGTGTAATGCTTTGAAATTTAGATGCGCCTTTTTTTCTTTTTTCCTGCTTTTTTCGATATTTTTCGCCAAGTGTCGGAGGAAACGAGCTCTCGATCCACGGCCGAATGGACCGAGCGATTTATTTTGAATTTATAAACTATTGAAGCGCGTCGTTGTAGAAATATTTTGCGAAGGCGTAAAATATGGAGCGAATAGTGCGGTTTTTCAAATTAATTTCATGCCCGAAGCGAGATCGATATTGAATATGCTTATTTTTTCCTCGTCCTTTTTTTTCTTCTTCTCTCCCTCCTCTGCTGCTAGCTTTTTTTTTCCCGACTCGCGGGAAATATTTATTATCGAGATTTTATGGAATGTACGATTACGGTGATATCGAAAGTTTATCGGGCTAATTTTTTAACGATCTACATTTTTTCTCTTTTTTTTTTTGGGGAGTTTAATTTGCATGGAGATTTTGCAACGAGGGAAACGAACGATGTGTTATAGATATTCTTTTTTTGGGGTAAAAATGTTTGGCGCATTGAAAGAGGGAAAATGTGTATTCGATAGGAATATTAGATAGGTTAGACGATAAATTTTGATAAATAACGTGGGGTGTTTGAAACGATGTTTGGAGAAAAAATTGTGGTTCGGTTTTTTGGAAATAGCGTGTCTGTAGATGAATAATCGATTTAAAACAAATAGACCGGGTGGAAACAACGGAGCGGAATAGAATTTCTACTGATTCTGTTGCTAAATTTAATTCATTTGTTTAAATCAACTAGGAACCGTGAGTTTCCAATCATTTTCACCAATTTGTTGCACCATGATTCGCGTTAATTCTTATCCAAGCGTTGAAATCGTCTAATCGTTCGTTGAACGAAGTGTTTCAGAAAAATGTTAACACCTTGATGGAACTTTTTCTCGAGAAACTTGCAACAAAATGTATTTTGTTTTCAAATAATTGTCAATATTGTCGATACGTTCCTGGGATGTTCTTTTTCTTGTAAAAAAATATAAATGAAAATGTGTGCCTGTAGAAATTCTCCAGAAAACATTTCAATACTTCTATTAGGCGCCGTTGTAAAATTTTTGGGAATATTTTCTGTGCACAGTTCGATAGCAAAATATTAATACAGAATGTAAAAAGGAATATAGAGTAGAATTTAGAGAAATGAACACTTTCAACGCAGATTACATAAAACCGCAAGTGAGGCGAAAAGAATAAAAAACAAAGCAGAAAAATAGTTCTAAAATTATTTTCCATCGTAAAACGTGATCTATAAAATTTTCAAGGAAAGATAAATAATAAAATAGATGCGACACTGAAAAGCATCCCTTGCTCAAAGTGTTGATAATAATTTCTCACATAATCACAATTTGACACTTTATGTGTCCAAATTTCTTCCTAAAATATCCAATCTATTTTTTAGCTGTAGCAATTTTTCTAAAGTGCAATTTTCAACGAAAGTACCCAAACTTTCACCAGCAAGTTTCCTAGGTGTTAACATCGTTTTCTCTCTGTTCTTACTGGACCTGTATAACGTATACGTTGGAAAAAGAGTTTACGGTTTACTTACGAACACAAGCAATGCGCTGCAGTCAGGACGAATCTTGAATTAAGAAGTGTACCGCCGCAGAAGTGTCCTCCTTTTCTACTGATGCTCACCATCCAAGGAAACTCGTGCGGTATCGCGTTTTGTCCGCCGACCAGTCTCGCCGTGCGTGTGCCAATTCTTCCTTGGCCGCAAGGGACGTCCGCGACTGTTATCGCAAGCATCGTATTCCTTCGTTAACATCCGATAGAAAACGAGCTACACGCTCGCTTGCAAAAGAAAAGTGGAACATAGAGTGGAATTGTTTTTTCTTTTTGGTCAATTTTCATTCAAATAAAAATGAAGCGTCACAATTCAATTTGTTTCTTCCGAATAGATTGTTATTTATTTCGCAAAAGTTCAACGGTATTTCTCTATAGTTTACTTTCTTTTTTTTTTTTATTGCCAATGTTCCACTATGTTCTTTTTGTTTTGCAACCGAGAGGAAATAATTCGCGAAATTAGAGAAACAGATTAAAAAGACCTGTCTTCCTCCCAATTAAAGGGAATTACAGAGGCGGAACAATTTACAGTTAAAGGGAAAATCGTTTCGAAAAATTGCGACTATCGAAGAACCAGGGTTTTCCTCTGGGTTTTTTTTTTTTTCATTAATCGAGCTGGTACACGCGAACGCTAGTCGCTTTCATGGTCGCATCGCGAAAGTTGGTTTCAACTTTTATCAAAAATAATCACCCGGCAAGCGGCGCGTTCATTAACGACGAAACAAATCCTGTTTCGTTGGCTCTTCTCCGAAAATGGCACGTTCGCGGTGCGTGGAGAAAGGAAGAATCGATTGTGTGGGTCATCGAGTGGAGATTTGGAAGCAAATCTTTTTAACTACTCGTCTCTCCCTTATATCAATCTACGTGCTCTTCTGTCTAACAATTTTGAGTTACTGTGCGCTTCGAGGAGTGTAAACACTGTTGGAATTTATTGGAACATTTCAACAGTGAATTTTCATATAACTTGAAACGTGATTAAAAAGTTATCTCACGTCGATGAAAATAGAAATAAATTTACAGAAAACGAAGTCAGAAAGATGCAAATGGTTATATTTATCGGTATCGAAAATGCACCGTTTTTTGCAAAGCTGCAAATGGGTTATCTTAATCCGAACGCTCCTTCTAGTGTTAAGTGAGTAAGTCGGAGAGATTCTAACGAACGAATTATTTCGAGATGCGTCAAGAATAGACAACGAATACTGAAAATACGGAATTATTCTCGTTTCTATATTTAAAGGGTACAAGACTCGGCCATTCCCGAGCAAATAATTCACTATCCTCCGTACGAAGGAAGTTAATAAATAAAAATCACGTGGAAAGTTTACCATCGGCAAAGAAACTTTCTTTGTCTACCCTACTTAAACCTGTTGACTAATTCCGCGAGCCACGATAGCATCCCGAAGAGAAGCTGTTTGCCCGTGGTAAACAGCAGTCTTAAGACATAAACCTTTCCCAAAGATATTACCACCGTAAGAACAGATAAGCAGAACGGAAGAATTCCGATGGAAACTCTCGTTCGAACTAATCTCGCGTCCGTGTTCGCCGGTCCCCTTTTCCTTCGACCTCATAAAACCGCCAACATCCTTAAACCCTCCTCCGTTCTGTCGGTTTGAAAGGTTCGCGGCGGGGGATAGCGGGGTCAGGTAAAACCGCGGACGAGACGTGTCCAGCTGGTGATGTGCAAGCGTTTAATTGAAAGCTGAAGCAGCGCGTACAGCGGAATGTTAACCGATTCAAGAGGAACCAGCCGCTGACGGCACCGGTACTGGCATCGCGCGAATTTAATGCCCCGAGCAGATAGGGATAGATACGGCGGATCTGTCACCGCAATCCCTGCGACATCCCTCCCTCTGTCCACCGCCCCTGAATCGCAACCCCTCTCGTTTCCCCTCTCGTTTCACGCCTCGGCTGATTAATTGGACCTCTACGTCTGCACCACCGATCCCTCCCACTATGCTTTCGGGGCTCCCCCGTCGACCCTTGCAGTTTCCAGACGAGGAGAGACGGGGAGAGACGAGGAGAGACGGGGAGAGACGAGGAGAGACGGGGAGAGACGAGGAGAGACGGGGAGAGACGAGGAGAGACGGGGAGAGACGAGGAGAGACGGGGAGAGACGAGGAGAGACGGGGAGAGACGAGGAGAGACGGGGAGAGACGAGGAGAGACGGGGAGAGACGAGGAGAGACGGGGAGAGACGAGGAGAGACGGGGAGAGACGGGGAGAGACAGGGAGAGACAGGGAGAGACAGGGAGAGACGGGGAGAGACTGAGCGAAGAGGGAGAGTAAAGAGAAAGGAAGTGAAGGGAGAGAGAATCAGAATGAAGAGAGACTTTGAGCGAAGAGAGAGAGAGAGGGATAGCGAGTAAAGAGAGAGAGAGAGGGAGCAACGGGAGGATGGGGCAGAACAGGCATAGAATTCGAAGTCACCTCTATTCGGAAACGCGTAATAGATATGTCAAAAGCAGGCCGAACATGTTCATGATAATATGCTGATGCCTTCGTCCGACTTCCCCTCTCGCTCGTTTACCCTCCTGCTCCCCTGATTTCGCTCACAGTTTGGGCCGGGCCCTTTTTTCCCATCATCATCATCCCTACCGAGGGACGACGGACAGATTGGAGATTCTTTTTCGAGTCTTTTGTACGGATTCTGGCGGCTGCAGGTGGCAGCGAATGGGGTTATTTCAACGGACGGAAGAGCCAGATCGGTGGAAGGACTTGCACGAAGAAAGGGAACCCTTTCGTTGCTTCGTGTCCGTTCTTTTAGTCTCCTTTTCCTTCTCCCCCTTTCGTTTCCGTTTTCAGTGGTTTAATGTTGATTTAAACGTCCAGTGATGTGTGTTTGGCCTCGACGAGTGGATTGGACAGGTATTCTTCCGTTAATCGTGATACTGCGTGTAATAGGTGGCTAATGAATGGGGGGGTTTATGGAGAAAATCTGATGCATTATCTTCGTATAAGAACATTACAATGTACAGAAACGGGTGGGATTAGTTTTGTCAGTGGGAACTGCATGTGACGTGAAGCGTTCTTTTGAAATTTCTATTAATTACCGTAACTGTAAATGGTTAAACGTGACGTATATTATCGCTCACAGGTATCTGTCTATATACTTTCCTCTCTGTATTCACAGTGTCGTAAATTTTTCAAAAGAATTACAACTCTGTAAAATATGAGTTACGAAACAACGAAATCCTTCACTTTGTTCTTCGAAATTCTCGTTAAATGATGTTCCTCGCTGAGATAAAGAACACTGTGAATAAATCAAATACTTACGAGCTAAAATGTGTGTCATATTTGTATTAGTAAGAATCATCGAAAAATTTCAAATTTCAATTCCGTAATAACCTTAGAATATCTCTCAGCGACTAAATTCCAAAGTATACGATCGCTTATCCGACGAATAAGATTGATTGGAACAAAGCGATCGTTAATACTTCTCGATCATTTTTGCGCATTAATCGCGTCGGTAAATTTTTCATCGACCATTTTATCCGCGCCTGGTCTATTACGTGTTTCATTTTACGTCCGTTTGCACGGGAAACGGACAGGTACGTGTTCGTAGCGTAAATGACGCGGATCGTGACGATGAGTTCTCGCGTGGATTAAAATTATTTACAACAGAGGGGGCAGGGGAAGGAAGAAAAATGGAAGCGCGGAAAAAGAAAGCAAAAAAATAAAAAATGATCGTTTAAAGGAGCGATTAAAAGCTATCACGTCGCTCTGCGACCGATATTTTACTCGCTCGAAATACTTTTATCGGCCGCGTGTGTAATTTTCACGGGGTCCGGGCCGCGGCTCTCTCGCGTCGCCCGGTTGAGCGTGAAATTCAGTAGTACAAAACACGAATGTCGCGGCGCATGAGATATGGGACTGTAAAGGATTAATCGAGGCTGTCTAGATCGATGGCAATTTATCTTGATAATTAATTTATCCTTGCCACTCGATACGGCCCGACATTATAACCCGATGGTTATGAAAATGATTTACGTAATCGTAATGGAAATATTCCGTTGACAATATTTCCGGGCTTGGCCCCCACGCGCCGAAGAATTCGTGGAATCTCGAGCCGTGAAAGTTGCCACGATTCCCAATCAATTTAGTCCTCTTTTCAAATTTCACAATCGACGTTCATTTCGCTTCGCTACAAAGAACGAATTCCATATTCGTTAACGTTTCAAAGTGTGTTCCCCCCGACACAGGTGATTAAGCTTTCAGAAGCATATTTTTCTTATCAGGTGTTTCAACGAAATCGTACGAATTCTCGAAAAAATTTTGTAGTATCGGGGCCTCCATACCCAATTAGGGAACCGGCACGGGACAATAGTGAGGGAGTGGTAGCGCGCAAAGCCTCGGCTTGCTAAGCCGAAGGTCCCGGTTGGGTCCCTCGATATTTTTCCGTCGTCGGTTCCTCCAATTTCACCAAGGTGAATGTTTATCCGTTGATAATTGCTCGTTTGCTTATTTACGACGTAAATTACAGGTTTATTTCGGAGCAACTTTATTTCCCGAATTTTTCAGTCGTAAATTTTAGTTATTTCGTGGATTGTAATTGTGAAAACAGTTTATTATTCTTTTGTTGGAATGAAAAAGAGGTTTTTGGGTGAATAAATGTGAGCAGCAATGGGAATGTCTCTCTGTTTATACGATTGATTAATTAGTTAGTTTTGATTAATTGTGAAAAAGCAACACGTAATGGTTGTAAGTTGTTTATTACAATAAATAACTCGAGTGAATGGTAAACTATTGTGGCGGTCCTAAGCGTGGGATTGTAGTTGGACGACGGCACTAGACTGGCTAGCTGGTTTCTTCGAGTCCTTAGGCCAGCAAGGGGTGTAGTAAACCCAGGTCAAGAGACTTTCCCCGCTTACGCACCGAGAGAGTACGCGCGTGTTAACGGATTCCGACAGAAATTAATATAATACTTTAACTAACGCAATACAATATTTTGTGGATACTCTAAGTATATACTCTGTGATAAGATCTTAATGGAAGTCGCTTCTCCGTATAGATAAGATAACTAGCAGCAATTTTCAACAGGATATCCTCTGGTCAATACGCCACAGGGCCCATTAATCATACAGGTCTTTTAATTAATGTCTTCGATCGTTCGGTATTGATTTCACAGATAGATTCTCGTGAATTAATAGTGTAACTTTTAATCGATCGCGATTAAACCTCTGACTA